GGAGGAGAAGCGAGCACGACGAATTGAAGAACAGCGGCAGAGAGACGTCAACCGCAGGGCTGCCGAGGAGGAGGAGAAGCGAGCACGACGCCTCGAAGAACAGCGACAAAGAGACGTCAACCGCAGGGCTGCGGAGGAGAAGGAGAAGCGAGCATGACGCCTGGAAGAACAGCGGCAAAGAGACGTCAACCGCAGGGCTGCCGAGGAGGAGGACAAGCGAGCACGACGCCTCGAAGAACTCCGACAAGCAGCCAATATCCGCAGAGCCGCCGAGGATGAAGACGAGCATGTTCGACGTCTGGAAGAACTGCGGCAAGCAGCCGCTATCCGCAGAGCCGCTGAGGACAATGACGAGCGTGTTCGACGTCTTGAAGAACAGAGGCAAATAGATGCCAACCGCAGGGATGCTGAAGAGGTAGACGAGCATGCTCAACGCCTTCTAGAACAGCGTCGTCGCACAGCTGAAATACGACAGAATTCTGAGCGTAATCGACTTCAATCCCACAAAGTCGCTGCCTCAAGCCTCGTAGAGTACAGCAATTTGGGAATGTTTGACATTGCATGTGTTCATTGTGGTGCTGTTCATTTTTTGAAAGAGAGAGTGCAGAACAGAATTCACCCTAATTCATTTGGTGACTGTTGCCTTCATGGTCGCATTGAACAACCTGCGCCAGAGTTTCCCAATGAATTGGCATTGCTGTACACTAAACAACACAGACTAGCCAAACATTTCCACGATAAAATTCAAAATATTTCTGCCTGTTTTGCTTTTTCTTCATTCAATGTTGCTGATGACAGGACTTTCAATAGTAAAGGTATTTATACATTTACTGCTGGTGGACAAGTGTATCACAAGTTAAATTTGGCGGCTCAGCCAGTCAGCAACAGTGAGGGTGATTTGGAAAGACCTAGATATGGCCAAATGTACTTCATTGATCCGGAAACAGCCGTTGCAGAACGTATGAATGAACCAATGAATCAAGGCATCAATCAAGAACTAATACAGATTTTAGAGGAGATAATGAGAAGTCAAAACCCATTTTCACAGGCTTTTACGATGATGAGGGAGATAGTTGAGGAAAACAATCAACGTGCTGAAGCTCTTGGTGTCCAACCACCCCATGTCCACCTCCTGTTTGCTGAACAAATGTAAAATAATACTGTTTTCTCTAATCACAATTATTTTGTATGTTATTTGTAGTTGCTGCAAAAATATAAAATCAGAAATATAAAATAAACAGTAACTAAACATAAAACTTATGCAAACTTATCAAGTAAGTTGTCTTGTGTTTGTTACTCCTCGATAAATATGATGACTCTGAAGGGAAATTTAATTGAAGGGTCGCCACAACTAACGTTTTGCTGCAATCTCAGTACTAAACTCTGAAAACTTCCATATAAGCATAAGTAAGCGCGCCGTAGCCTTTTTTATTTCCTTTCTCTTCTCTTCTCCGTAGCTTTCTATATTGCATGTAAGAATAACTACAACAGCCTGTTAAAATAATAATACCCCCGCCGCAGCAAACCTGCAGACTAAGCGAATTTCCATTTGCCTGATTGGATTTACACTAAAATGTCTCCTGAAAAGTATCACATTTATTCCCTATTTTAATAGATTAGTTTAACGTACTTAGGTTTGCTGCAAAAAGATGTTTTGTGGTAAAATGTTAATAGTTTAGTAAAAAATGAATGTATTTTACAAATTTTATCAAAATATGTTCATAAACAAGCAAACTAAAACAGTTGACTTATTCTCCATAAGAATAACATAGGAATTTTAAATTTACAATTTTTTGGAATTTTCTCCGTAACCATTAGGCGCACAATAACGCTTCAATATATTAAATTATTTGTTTTTTTAAGCTCTACAAAATGGTTTGGAAAGAAATTGTGAAATTTTTTGTTTTTAGGGTAAACAACCTATTTTTATTTGTGTCATTTTTCTCTGAGAACTAAATAACGATTAAAGTTAAGATTTTTTTGTTTTTCATATCATTAATTTACGATGTTTACTTTTAGGCGATGATCCCAGGCGATTCAACTCACCAACTTATAATGAAGTTGCTGCTGTAATTACATTAAATGCAGACCAAAGTATCCCGGAAAATGAGATGGTTATTAAGGAGCGAGGAAAACAGTTAATAACGCTCAAGAACATTGACAGCCGAGTAGAACCATTCACCTACCCTCTCCTCTACCCAAAAGGAACTTTTGGGTTTACTGTAGTCCTTCCTCTTAAAACGCCTTATGCAAGCCGTGCACACATGACGAGGATGGAGTTGGCTCAATACAGGTTAGCCTTTCGTCCAGAACAAGCCGAGTTCTGAACAACAAGTTCTTCCTCCTGAACCATTGCTAGAGGGATTAGATCTAAGGTCGATTGGATTTAATGCTCTCCACTTTGGTGGTAGACTGTTTCAACAGTACGTCGTGGACACATACATCCGTGTTGAACGTGATCGTATTCAGTGGATCAAATATAACCAAAAGAAACTTCAAGCTGATCAGTATGCAGGAGTAACACATTTTCTAAATGAATTGGCTGAAAAGAAAAATGCTACAGTTGCTGAAAAACTGATTTTACCATCATCTTTTCCCGGATCAACTAGATATTTCACTGAACACTTTGAAGACGCTATGGCAATTGTCCGAAGGTTTGGCTCTCCAGACTTTTTTATCACAATAACGTGCAGTCCAACATGGCCAGAATTAAAAGAAGCTGCATGTATTGAGCTCTCTGATGGTTCTAAACTTCAACAGTTCGCCCAAGAAAGACCTGACATTGTGGCTAGGGTAGCCAAATTGAAATTTGACAGCATAGTTGAAGATATAAGTAAGAAACAGATTTTTGGGAAGTCTTCTGCTTTTGTTTACACTATAGAATTTCAAAAACGAGGATTACCCCACCTACATCTTCTTGTCATCATGGCAAATGAAGACAAACTCCGGTCTCCAGAGGAAGTAGACACTTTCATTTCGGCAGAAATTCCTAATGATGACCCAGTTCTAAGGGAGTTGGTCCTCAAATGGATGATTCACAATCCATGTGGCGAACTTAATCCGTCTGCGTCATGTATGGAGAATAAGGGTGGATCAGCTAAATGCCGCTTTGGATTCCCCAAAGCTCATCAAGAGTTTACGTCAATTGTTGACAACAAAACACCGAATTACAAGAGACGGTATGACCCACAACTGGATCCAAATAACCCAGAATTTTCTCACGTCCATGCGGTGTACCGCAAAAACAGTGATGGACAAAAAGTTACACGGGACAATAGACATGTTGCTCCATACAATGGCTATTTACTGAAGAAATACATGTGCCACATAAATATCGAGTATGTTGGTAGTGTTAGAGCCGTTAAGTACCTCTATAAATACATTTATAAAGGGCATGACTGCGCAAATGTAAAAATTGTTGAAAATGTGGCCCGAATAATGTATAATGAAGCAGAAACATTTGTTGAGGCACGTTATATTTCGCCCCCTGAAGCATGTTGGAGGCTGGCTGGAAATGAAATCCAAAGGAAAAGCCATTCGGTGCAACGTTTGGACATCCATCTAGAAGGTCAGTACCGTGTGGGAAACATGGAACAGACACAAGAAGATGTAGCGGACACTGGCCTGAAAGGGTCCACCTTAGAGGCGAACTTTAAACACAACTCTAAACTTCACATAGAAGAAGAGAATGGGAATGAAGTAATCTACTACTTCTACTGGCAGATGCCAGAAAAGTACAAATGGTTAGGCAAAACAAGTGAATGGGTGGTACGACAGCGAAGCTCAAAAACGATTGGAAGGATCCACACTGTGAACTTGGTGGCCCAACCTGAACTTTATCACTTAAGAATGCTCCTCTTCCGTACCAAAGATGCCAAAAGTTTTGAAGACCTTAAATTTGTAAATGGGACTGCCTATTCCACTTATAAACAAGCATGCCTAGCAAAAGGCCTTACATATGATGACCAGCAATGGATTGATGGGCTGCGGGAATCCGCTTTGTCAAAGATGCCGAGTGTCATGAGGACACTCTTTTGTCAAATCTTGATTCTCGGATCACCAGAAAACCCTAAACGTCTCTGGGATATGTTTAAGGACGAGTTGGCAGAAGATTTTCTTAGAGAAGCAGAGATTTCTGGAACCCCTCTAGAAGATGCTTACAACAGAGCATATAGAATCATAGCTTACAAGCTAAATACTGAAGCTACAGAAGGTAATAATCAACTTATAAATATTACTTATTAAAAAACTTAAATTAAGTTTATTTTGAGTGGATACCCCTTCAAAATGTATAATATATTTATTTATATTTTATTTTAAATGATAATATCTTTCTCTTAAACTGACAGCGAGTAGGTTAGCCATGCCGATGGTCAATGAATGTTGTCTATTGGTCTACCAAAGTTAAATATCAATCTTTAGTGAATTACTTCAACATATCATACATAATACCATATCAATATTCAATTATTTTAATGTCTTTAAAAGTCATTTCAAAATAATTATCAAAGATGATCTAATACAGTCCTTACTATTATTTATTAATCACAAATTTATAAAATACAGATGATTTCAGAATCAAACCTATGCAGACATTTTTATAACAGTCTTTAAAAATTAACCTAAAATATGTTAATTTAATATAAAAAATGGGTTGGAAATTATTGCGTGTTTTAAATAAGAGAGCACAAACCCCATTTAATCATATTATTCACTCATGAATAATACATTTATGACACACATTATTCTAACCATTGTTGTAAACAGTACTTTAATTTGGGAGATATGGACCTCATACATAATTGCATATCTTCCAGCAAAATAAACCGTCTTAATAACAAACATTTTGAGCCTTTGGGTGGTGATTGATCACCTAATTACTCCCAATTATTTACCCAAATTCTTTCAGCTTTATTAACTTATCGTTATTTGTGATGTGTTACAAAAACTTTAATGACACTTTTTAGAAATGTTTAACACTTAAACGTGCTTATTTTAGGGCGCAACTTCCATTTTTGGGTGGAGAACTATGGAATGGATAATATTAACGACTTCGAGATGAATGATGAGGTTTTTAACGTTGGGCAATCTCATGCAATTGGCCATCGCCTCTACAACAACCTCAATGACAAGCAGAAGGAATTTGTTGATGCTGTCATCCAAACACTTGATGATGAGAGTTCAGGTACAGTACACTGTTAATAAACTGAGAAATTCAGGTGCGAGAATACCTAGGATACCACTAATAGCATTGAACATATGTTTTAGCAATTCCATTTAACCAATGTTAAATAATGTTTATTTTCGGGCCAAAAACGTCATTTGTTGATGTTTATGATCCATACCGGGTATTTTTCTAGTAATCGTGTAGGATACCAATAACCTTTAATAATAGGGAGGTTACTTCAATATTTAGAACAGTATGTTTTGAAGCTATTTAAATAATGGTCAGGCCTTTTTTTATTTACAAGTAAATGACATAGTTAGTTATCAAAATACAGATTCAGTTTTGAAATAAAACATATGGTTAACACATATTATTTGTTGCAAAAAAAAGAACAAAAAAAAACAGAATCCTACTGCATCAGCTTTTAGAAACCCGCAGACTTGGATAATATAAGCTAGGATAATAATGAAGTTAACTGTAAATTGTACATTTTTGTTTTTAATCAATGTCATCTGATTTAATTCATTTGTTAGCTTCAATTTTGTATACTATCTTTCTTTATACTATTCAAACAATGTCACCAGTTTTAAAATCCTGACAGTAACAAAACATAATGTTGTGATAGTACACATGAATTGATTTGTTTTCAGGACCAAAATGTTTCTTCCTTGATGGACCTGGAGGTACAGGGAAAACATTTGTCTACAATACCTTATACCACCTCTGCCGAAGTCGAAATATCATTGTTAAATGCATGGCATTTACAGGCATTGCATTCATACTTCTGCCAGAAGGACGCACAACCCACAAGACATTTGGTCTTAAAGTTCCTTTGACTAATTATTCAAAATCATCAATCAAACGTGGATCTTCAAAATTCAAGGAATTGGAAGCAGTCAACATGTTCATGATGGATGAAGCACCAATGCTTCCTAAATACGGTCTTGACTGCATGGACGAGCTCCTTCGTGATCTAGGTGACAGGAACTCCCCATTTGGCGGGAAAATAATGATTTTAGGAGGAGATTTTCGACAGTGTCTACCGGTCCAGCCAAGGGCAAATCGTACCGAACTTCTAGACCTTTCCATCAAGAAAAGTGTTCTCTGGAGGTACTTCAGGGTTTTCTCTCTGGAACAAAATATGAGAGTTGATGCGGAAGAGGAGTGCTTTGCTAGGTACCTACTGAAACTTGGAAATGGAGAGCTTGATACCAACGCTGATAGTGAAATTGAACTCCCTAAAGGTGCATTGTCCCTGAAGCGACTCTAGCGATAGTAGCTGAGCGATAGTAGCTCAGCGATAGTAGTTGAGCACTGGTTAGCGTTGTTTCAAATGGTACCATTGTCCTTGACGCGACTGCGACTGGAACGGCTAGCGGCTGAACACAGCGACTGTAGCGGGTCTGCTCTGAGGGGAGTCAGAGTCGCAGTCGCTGAGCGATTTGTAGGTGTGGACGGGTTTTTGGCGTAATGTCTTCAAAGAATACAAAACTGCTTTTTACCCCTGAAGAAGATATGAGATATGTAAATATTGTTATTTATAAGAAAGAGTATAACGTTTTGTGGTGGTTTAGGAGAATAAGCAGGTCTAGTGTACGTTTCCAATGTTGTGGGTTCAAATCCCTCAATTGACAAATCACTACTACTATAAATTATAAATATAAAAAAAACTTGTTCAAAATGCAACGTTTTTAAACGCACTATAAAGTACAGAATATGTATTGAATAAATACTTGAAGATTTAAAGAAAAACGTGGGGCGCATACTAATTTTACAATTATCTTTACCTATTGAACTATTATTATCCATTGCATGCGCCCCACGTTTTTCGTTTTAAATCTTACAAGTATTTATTTTCTCCACATATTTATAAATTACTAGCTGTAACCCGTGGGCTTTGCCCCGTTTAACTTCTTAATTTTCAAGATTATCTCGTTCGCATGGCTCAATCACGTCCTGGTTTAAGTTTGTTCGCTACGCTCACTCACCTTTAGGTTGGAGCTCGTTCGCTACGCTCACTCACCTTTAGGTTGGAGCTCGTTCGCTACGCTCACTCACCTTTAGGTTGGAGCTCGTTCGCTGCGCTCACTTGCCTTCAGGTTAGCTCGTTCGCTACGCTAACTCGCCTCCAGGTTGAAGTTCGTTCGCTACGCTCACTCACCTTTTGGTTGCAAATTAGCTGTTGTCATTAATGTAAAAGAAATAATAGTGCTGCACCCTGTTGGTAATCCTTGTAACTTTAATACTATTGAACATCATAGAACAGAACCAACTTGTTTAATTGAAACAGCTGTTAAGATTCAATAATTCCATTTCTCATAAGGTTAACATGGGAAACTCCAGAGCCACTGGGGCGGAGCCCGAAAGGATTTTTGAAATAAGAATATGCCTATATGTTAATCGGGAATGTGAGCTATCATCAGGCCAAATTTCAGCCCAATCCGACCAGTATTTTTCGAGTTTACTTTTCCCATACACACATACACACATACAGCAACCACCTCTTTTTTATAATAGTATAGATTTTTTTTTTACTTTTTAGTGCGTTTAAAAACGTGGTAATACATAACCAAACACTTATTATCTGTAATCATATGTTTTATCTTCCTTTGAGCTGCTTATTTTATATTTAGAATCTCTCGGGAGCAGAACCTGTACCTCTTAACCTCTGCACTTCGAACTGTCTAATTTTAGTATTTACAGAGGACTTCAATTGATATATTTAGGCCTACATTCTCCCAAAATTTAAACATGAAAAAATTGGAAGCCCATGGGGCTTAGCCCAAGGGAAATATGAAAATTAAATGATATAATATTGCATTGTCATCCATTTGTGAGCTATTTCTAAAGTTTCAATTCTCTAGCTCGTCGGGAAGTTAGTTATTGATTGCAAAGTTTTTACCGGACAAGAAAGTGAGCTAATAAAAACGTTTTAAAATTAGCTGGTGTCATGGCACTTATACAGTAGCACCAATTCACTCGAAAGTCAGCAAACTAATGAACAGAATCGCTCTAGAACAATCGCTTCTGGGACAATGACATGGTTAGCTACTATCGCTGAGCTACTATCGCTGAGCTACTGTCGCTCAGCTACTATCGCAAGAGTCGCTTCAGGGACAATGCACCTTAATGACATCATCACTAATACTAATGACATTGTTAACGAGATCTATGGAGAATGTCTCTCCGACGGAAACTTTGAGGACATGAAGGATCGAGCAATTCTTGCACCCCTAAACAAGGACGTCGACACAATTAACAACACCGTTATCAATTTAATTCCTGGAACCGAGACCATTTATAAAAGTTACGATTCAATTAAAGATGAACCAGAAGGTGCCTTAAAGTTTCCCCCAGAATTCCTAAACTCTATCGAGATTTCAGACCTACCACCACACCAGCTCAGACTAAAAAGTAATACCATTATCATGCTCCTTCGTAACCTTGACGTCTCAGAGGGTCTGTGCAATGGCACTAGACTGATAGTTACAGCACTCTGTCCTAACATAATAAAAGCCAAGATCATCACTGGTGAACACTCTGGCCGAGACGTGCACATACCGAGAATCACCCTTGATTCATGCAAGTCTCAGCTAGGGTGTTCACTACAAAGACACCAATTCCCTATTCGGCCAGCCTTTGCGATGACAATACATAAATCGCAAGGGCAAACATTTAAATATGTCGGCGTCGTGCTACAAACGCCTGTATTCATGCATGGCATGCTATACGTTGCATTTTCAAGGGTAAAGCGTAGAAGTGCATTGAAAGTGGTGGTACCGCCAGAAACAGGTGGTCGCACACGCAACGTAGTGTGGACCGAAGTTTTTAATTGATGTGGTTCGTGCATTTGAGAAAAGACTTTTGTTATATTATGAAATTCTATTTTTCTTGCACTATTTTTCATTTGTTTTGTTGTAAACATTTTCTTTGATAGTTAGTTTTATTGAAGGTATGCATTGTACTGTATCAGATGCAGGCAAGTTCTTTACTTGCTCTGCTCTTTAGGGATACTTTAAATGTATTGAAATATTTTGGAATATTTCATTTTTATATAATAATCTTATAATCTTATGTGAGCAATGTTGGCTTGCAGATCAAAAACAGCAAGGTCAAAGGTCGGGGTACCGCAGGGTTCGGTTATGGGCCACATTTTGTTTTTAATTTTAATTAATGACATTAGTTTCAATTTAGATTGTAAGTCAACAATTTATGCTGATGACACCTCTTTACTTGTTAGCCATAGAGATTTAGATTGTATGGAAAATGTTGCCAATTCTGTTTTTAAAGATGCTGAAGAATAGTTTACAGTAAATGGATTGTTTTTAAATTCTAAAAAACACAGAGAATATTGGTGACCTTGAAAAAGAATCATGAAAACCATCAATTTGTTCACGATTATGAAAATTTTGTAACATTACTTGGTATAAAAGTAGACTGTAAGCTGTCATAGTCTGACCATATTAATTTTGTAAATAATAAATTGCCCAGAGTTGTACATTTGTTAATAAATCTAAAAAGACATGTTTCCAGTAAATACTTGAAAATGGCATATTTTGCTTTTTATGAAAGTGTTATCTGGTGGATAATCTGGAGTAACGGAGTTGGAATTAAAAAAAATTTTATCAAACAAAAAAAAGCCAGCTTATAGAGTTTTGCCGGACTCAGAAAGGTTAGCCCGCTCCAGGCCACTTTTTGTCTCATCGGGGACCCTGACTATTGTACACTTGTATATTTTAGAGGTATTGATGTTTGTCAAAATTAATTTAAATATGTTTTCTGTCAGAGAAAAAATACATGATCATGTAATCAGATTTAGGAATAAATTAGATCAACAAATGTTTAGGTTAAGTAAATCAATGAATTATCATGTTAATTTAGGTGTAACATTTTTCAACAAGTTACCATTGACTTTTCAGAGTTTGCTTAAAAAAGCATTAAATAGATTGTATAATTGGTTACAAATTGAACCCATTTTATACATTGGATGAATTTTTAAATATTAAAATAGAGTCTTCAAGCCTAGCCCAATTTTAGATTTTAAACATTACATGGTTTTTTGTGATGTTAGCTCAATTTAATGTTGCTTGTTTATCAATGTGAATCATATACAACTGTTTATTGAAAAATTTTGTAATTTTGTTGAATGTCTAATAAATGTCTTATTATTTGTCTTATTTGCTTGTATGTATAATTTCACAAAGTACTTGAAAACGGCTTTGACAACAGCCTTTAAATGTTGGAAATAATTTATTTCTAGCCTAAAAACGTAATTGACGACCACCAACATCTAAGGCAAATTCGCATTTCACTATACAACTCAATATAACAATATACAAATTTAACATTTGCCACATGGGCTGCTAAGTAGTTATGCTGGTTGAACAAAATAATAAGTAAAAAGAAAAACAAAAGACTTGTAACATATTGTGTTTATAATAAGCCAACCACAGTATACTACAATTTACAGTACAAAGGGGGAAACATCATGTTACTATTGAGCAAAGATTACACTAATTTATCTATATAGGGGATATTTTCCCTTATATATTGATTAATTTTCAGTATAATCTTTGCTCAATAGTAATAATTGAAGTTCCTCTATATGAGGTTTTTGCCATTAACTGTAAAATAAAATAATTTGTTGTGGATTGTCAGGTTAAATTTTCCATCATAATAAATGGAAATTCCACTTGAAGTTAAATAATTAAGTCCGAAATTAGTTGTAAATAAGACTTGATATTGTGAAATCCGTGGATAAGTTAAAGTCATATTGTGGTTAACCTGATAATAATAAAACACAGCTGGCCTAAAGATATTGCTTTAGCAACACTTAAGTTGCCTTTATATTGCTTTTACAATCGAAATCAACTATACCGAGCCATGGCTCGGTCCCCCGGTACTCCTATACTCTAATACGAGCAATGTTTGCTTGTATGTATGTATGTATGTATGCTTGCTTGCAAACAAGATCTCGAAAACGGCTCCGACGATTTTCTTCAAATGTTGTAAATAGTTTATTTCTGGCCTAAAAACGAGTTTACTGCAGTTAGAACTGCCAACAAAAATCTAATTACGTAGAAAAATGAAACTGAAAATCACATTTTTTTAACATTAGTCTTATGGGTTGCTAGGTAACCATGTTGGCTGAATTAAATAACAAGGAAAAAGTAAACAAAATACTAGAAGTTGTAGCATGTGTTCATAATAAGCCAACTACCCACAGTATACTAGCAAATTACAAATACAGTACAAAAGGAAAAACATCACTTGTTAATATTTAGCAAAGATTATACTGAAGATTACTCGATACATTGTAGTCAAGGGTAGCAGTGCGAAGTCTGGAATCTGTTTATGATGAATAGATTAAGGTATCTGCAATCTTAAAATGCTATGGGAAGGGAAGGAAACAGGTCTGCGTCGTAGGAAGTGGTAAAGGAAGTAGTAAAGGCAATCATAAAATAATATCGGAATGGAGGGAAACAGGTCCGTGACGTAGGAAGTGATGAAGGAAGTAGTAAAGGCAAGCAGTCCGGAGTGTGGGGACTGTTTATGACGATAAGATTAGGGTATCTGCAATCCTAAAATGCTATAAGAAGGGAGGGAAACAGGTCCGCCACGTAGGAAGTGGTGAAGGAAGTAGTCAAGGCGAGTATAGTCCGGAGTGTGGGGACTGTTTATGTTGATTAGATTAAGGTGACTGCAATACTAAAATGCTATGGGAAGGAACGAAAACAGGTCCGCGACGTAGGAAGTGGTGAAGTAAGAAGTCAAAGTGAGCTGTCCGGAATGTGGGAACTGTTTATGACGATTAGATAAGGGTATGGGCAATCCTAAAATGCTATGGGAAGGGAGGGAAACAGGTCCGTGATGTAGGAAGTGGTGAAGGAAGTAGTCAAGGCGAGCTGTCCGGAGTGTGGGAACTGTTTATGACGATTAGATAAGGGTATGGGCAATCCTATAATGCTATGGGAAGGGAGGAAAACAGGTCCACGACGTAGGAAGTGGTGAAGGAAGTAGTCAAGGTGAGCTGTCCGGAGTGTGGGAACTGTTTATGACGATTAGATAAGGGTATGAGCAATCCTAAAATGCTATGGGAAGGGAGGAAAACAGGTCCACGATGTAGGAAGTGGTGAAGGAAGTAGCCAAGGCGAGCTGCCCGGAGTGTGGGAACTGTTTATGACGATTATATTAAGGTATATGCAATCCTAAAATGCTATGGGAAGGGAGGGAAACAGGTCCGTGACGTAGGAAGTGGTGAAGGAAGTAGTCAAGGCGAGTAGTCCGGAGTGTGAGAACTGTTTATGACGATTAGATTAAGGTATCTCCAATCTTTAAATGTAATGGGAAGGGAGGGAAACAGGTTTGCGACGTAGGAAGTCGTGAAGGAAGTAGTCAAGGCGAGCTGTCCGGAGTGTGGGATCTGTTAATAACGATTAGATTAAGGTATCTACAATCCTAAAGTGCTATGGGAATGCAGGGAAACAGGTCCATGACGTAGGAAATGGTGTAGGACGTAGTAAAGGCGAACCGTGTGGAGTTTGGGAATGGATTTATGTATTTCCAATACTAAGACTGCTTTCAGAGCGAACTTATGATTTTCCCCGAGCAAAGCTTGGTCCCTAGGTACTTTAATTTAATTAGTGTACATGTTGCTCGAAATCGAGCAATTGCAAAGAAGTACAGGAGTTATTTATAAAGAAATAACTTGTTTAAAAACTAATAACAGTCATAATTTCCAATTATTTTAAAAGAGTCAACTAAAAGATTATTAAGTAATTGAAATACTCACAATTTACATAACAGTCCTATTCCAGTTTAAAGAGTTAATTTATAACAATCAAACTGCCCATGGACGGGAAAAGGTAAGCTTACAATTTAAGTCAACGTAAAAAGGCTGTCAGCTTTTATAAAGTACCGTACCTAAATTATTTAGCCAATTTGTAGACAATAAGGTGTAGGCTACTTTAAACTCTAGAGGACAGAGTTAGGCAAAAACTGGCAGAACTCTGAAATGGTGTTATTTATCATAGGCTTACTCATATGCCAAAGCTTTAAAATAAAAATTCTATAATTAAAAACTTATATCATTAAACACGAATCAACATCCAAAACTAAACACATTTTTAATACAACATAATAATTTACACATTGACTGTTTAAAATTAACATGTTCTTCTTCTCACTTTTAATTTTTGCTTCGCAACGGGTTTCATAATCATTGAAATAGATTTATAATAAATAATCCATCATAAAGTTTGAGATTAAATAAACCTACCACATAGAAGTTTTATTTTTTGGATCAGCTGTCTGAAATTGTGAAATAGGCATTTGACAGTTTTGGTTGTTTACAGTTAAATGTCAAAGCAAATGTAAACATTGTGAATTTTCTCGTGCTTCCATGGAGACCACTCCATATTTAATATCAATATTTAATTTCTGACAACAGCTGGAGTTCCAAAACAATGTTTGTTTCCCATGTTAATCTTATGGAGAAATACAAAACTTTAAAGGGCCCCAGGGCCTCACTCTCTAATTATTTACCTAAAAAAAAGTTTCCTGCACAACTTCACGTTGCGCTCTTTCCAATGACACCAAAAACATGTCAATCGGTTCAGTAGTTTCGGAAGAGTAATTGTCACAAAAATCCTGCTTGCGTATTAAATAAGTATAGATTTGTGTACAAGGAGAATCGTTTCTTGGTGCCATGTGGTCAATGAGTTTTTTGTGAGTACTTTTGCATATATTTTAAATGATATACACTATATAAAATGATGGTACTGTAATACATTAAGAGATATTCATTTAAATAATCAATAAGTACGATTGAGCCTTT